GTCATGCCATCAAAACAGGAATACATCAGCAGACTGTTTATCAGATCAGAGCCATCAATGTCTGGATTTACCATTCTGGAATCAAGACTTCAATAGTGGAGACTTTGAAGGGATAATTTATATCCAAACCTTGACAACAAGGATAAAGAAAATTAATATAATTCAAACCAGAAAAAGTGAGGAATAGTACTTTGAAATCAATTAGGTGTTTATTCAAGTATAGCATTATTTAGCAGACTTGATTCTTAATTTCAGTTTAGAAATGTCACATTGTCTATGCCAATAATATACACTAAATAAAGCTCAATAAAATATAATTTGATTTACAGAACAATTCAAATGTTTAAAACTGAGTACCCAATAAACTTACTGAGTGGTGAGCCTGATATCATTAAGTAGCAAATTGGCCTTTGACCATCAGAAATTTTTGATTCTCCTGGGAAGTCTATAGGTAAGGAAAAATGTTAACTACTGTAATCAATAACTCATATATCAAGAGCAAACAGTAAAGTCAAGTAATAGCCAAGACATAACTTTATGAAGACTTATTTCTCAGCTAATTTCTATATAACAAGCAAGGGAACTCTCTGTAGAACAGGTCAGTTATAGGAAGGTCAGTCACTAAATTTACTTTAAAAAGTACCAAGTGTGATATAAAATTAATACTCTAAAATCAGTAGACAAACATACCAACAAAGAAATCAGATAAAAAATCTCATTTACTATAGCCTCAAAAATAGTATCTTTGATGAAATCTAAGAAGATAAAAGTCTTGTATAATAAAAACTTTAAGACGTTGAAGAAAGAAATTCAAAAACATAACCAGGATATGGAAAGATATTCCATGCTTATGGATCATAGGACCAATATTGTGGAAATGTCCATGTTGCTACTTATAGATTCTACACAGAAATTTTTTAAAAATCTTAAATTTTGTACGGAAACACAAAAAGTCCAGGATAACCAAAATAATCCTGGAGGTGTCATCATCCCTGATTTTAAGTTATAAAATAGAGTTATAGTAATTAAAAACAGCTTAGCACTGTTTTTATTACTGTACAGACACATTGATCAATGACATAGCATTGAGGATCTGGATACAAGTCTGTGCATATATGGCCAGCCACCTGATCTTTGATAAAGAGGCCAAAAATACACATTGGCAAACAGACAGCATTTTCAACAAATGGTGCTGAACGAACTACACAGTTGCATGTAGAAGAGTGAAACTAGATTCATATCTCTTATCCTGCACAAAACTCAACTCTAAATGGATCAAGGACTTTAACAAAAGACCTGATAGCTGAGCCTTGTAGATGAAAAGTGGAGCACGCCCTGGAACTTATAGGTAGAGGAAGGGACTTTTAAAAATGACTCCAATAGCTCAGGCATGAAGACCACAAATTGACAAAGGAAACTAATGAAACTAAAAAACTATTGTACATCAAAAGGCACCATTATTTCAGTGATGAAACATTTTATAGAATGAGAAAATATCTTTACCAGCTATACACCTGATTGATGGTTGATATCTATTATATAGCAAGAATTACAAAAACAAAACTTCAAGAAAACAAACAACCCAGCTGAAAAATGGGACATGGAAATAGAGAGCTCTCAACGTGAAAAAAATAGAAATTGCTGAGAGACACTTTAAAAAGTGCTCAACGTCTTTAGCCACCAGGGAAATGACAATTAAAACTATGTTGAGTTTTCATCTTTTCCTAGTTAGAAAGAGATCTGCAACAAGATCCAGGTACAGTATTCCCAGGCTTATACTCAAAGGACTCTATACCATACTACAGAGATACCTGCTCTTCCATCTTCATTTTTGCTCTTTTCACAATAGAAATAGCCTAGATACCCATCAGCTGATAAATGGACAAATAAAATGTGGTACATATACACAGTGGAATATTATTCAGCTATTAAGAAAAATAGAATTGTGAAATTGACAGGTAATTGGATGGGACAGGAAGAGATCATCCTGAGTGAGGGAATGCAGATCCCCAAATAAGAGCATTGCATTTTTCTCTCATATGTGGATATATTTTTAATCTCTATATATGTATGCTTCATTTTGAATACCCCTAAAGATTAGGACACTAGGAAGAGGCCCTGAGAGAGGAGGGCATATTTCAAGGGAAGGGAACAGAATATAGTCAAACAAATGGGGAAAGAGGAAAAATGGAATAGGGTGGGTTAAATAGTGTGAGTGGAGGGGTGCATGAGAATACAGCGAGGGGTAATTAATAATAAAAGGCTTTTGAAAAAAACATATGGAAGCCTAGTACTGTAAAAGATATCTAAAATATATCTCTATGGCTATATAAAAAGTTTAAATGGAGTTATCCTATAATGGAGGTTCAATCCTGCAAATAAACCTCACCTTAGCAAATTAAAAGCTCAGTTCCAAGAATGGGTTACCTCTCTTTAAGCTGTTGGCCAGTGGGGTTTCATAGACTTCCAAACATTACAGGATATTGTCATTGCTCTTGGTTACCCTCCAGAGCTCAGATCCTATTGCTGAAGAGAATACATTCTTAAGTAATAAAACATGGAGAAATCAAGCTAATACTAACCTTGAAGCTTCAGCCCTAAGGCATAGCTTTCATAGTGTTGGAAGATGCTATGCATATTAGGATGGAGAAGAGTAATCATCAATTTGCTGTGAACCTTGTCATTTACAATAAATATTGGCTTGGCAAGATAGTCTCACTAATTCAATAGTGACATCAATTTTACAGAAGTATCTAATGCCCTGTCTGATTGAATTTAAGACCTGCTCCTTGACATGGAACCCATACCTGGCACTGTTAACAGGGCCAAGAATTCATGGCTAGATAGGTTGTAGATCCTAGAGGGTGAGGAAGGAGGTGGGCAGGAAGTCCCATCCCTTCATGAAAGGCTATTGGCATTTGAGTGCTGCTGGGAGAAGAGGCGTGAGTTTTCTTTAGGGGTGTGACCCCTTGTAGGTGGACCACAGTCTACTGCAGGTTCCAAACGTTTGGACAGCACATGTTGGACTCAGTGCAGGGACAAGCAGGAAGTTGAATGGAAAGTTGAGAGTAGGGGTGGGAGTGTTCTGGAGGAGGTCCAGGAGGGGGAGAATATGATGAAATACACCAAATGAAACTCTCGAAGTATTAATAAAAAGAATTTTGTATAAAAGTCAAAGGAAAGGTTGGAGAGATGGCTCAGTGGTTAGGAGCACTGACTGTTCTTGCAGATGACCCGGCTTCAAATCCCAGCACCCACATGGCAGCTAACAACTGCCCGTAACTCCAGTTCCAGGGGATCTGACAGCCTCTTCTGTTTTCTGCTGGTATTGCATGACATAGGTGCACTTACCTACATGCAGGCAATAAAAGCATACACAAAAATAAAAATAATAAATATAATATATTTTTTTAAAGTGAAAGGAAAGGTTGGAAAGATGGCTCAGTGGTTAGGAGCACTGGCTGTTCTTGCAGATGACCTCGGTTCAATTCCCAGCACTCGTGTAGTGGCTAACATCTGTCTGTAACTCCAGTTCCGTGGGAATTCGATGCTCTGACATACATAAGCATTGCATGACATGGGTGCACTTACATACATGAAGACAATATATGTATATGCATAAAATAAAAATAATAAAATATTTTCTTGAAATTCAAAGAAAAAAAAGGAAAACTAAAGTGTTAGTTTACACATTACAGAAAAATTTTCCAGTGGCTATTGTAATACTATAGTTAAACTATAACT